TTGAAATAGGAGTCTAAAAATGATCATGGTTACATTACATCAATCAAAGTACCTTGTAGTCTCCAAGGAACATGTTTATCAAGTGCACATGCATTCTACGGGTACAAAACTGAAGGAGATGGAAGTACATAAACATTTTTGGACTAATGTCTAAATCAATTAAAAGTAAGCAAAGGTAATGATGCCACTGTCTAAGAGAACTTTACTTAACTTGCACTCTAACTACAATTTTAGTTTTATTTTTCTAATTAAAAGGTTATTAGGTAGATTATTTGTAAGCACTGTTTTAACTTTGAAGCACATACAAAATGCAGTACAAGAAATGACTCAAAAATGTCCTCTTTACACCTATCGGATTAGATTTCTAATTTAATAGGCGAAAGGAGGACATCTTTGAGCAATTTTTAGTGTGTTGAGGGGCATTTTAAAATCAAATAGGGGAAGAAGGGACAAATCTGATCAAATACAAATAGTAAACAAAATGTGTAAATTATTGTCCTTCCGTTTCAATTTATTTGTCCTAAACTGACTTGATACGAAGTTTAAGAAAATTAAAAAAAAAAACTTTTGAATTTCATGATCTTAAATTAAAGATATGCAAATCTTGTGGCCTTAAACATGTAATGTAAAAAATTAAAATTTAAAATTTGTCAAAAAAAACAAAAGAGAGATTTTTTCTAAACAGATCAAAAAAGACGATACGATAAACAAATTCAAACAGAGGGTATGCTATAAAACTACACATTTTAAAGAATCCCAATTTCTTAAAAAAGATATTACTATCACACCACACATATTACTTTTTTAAAAGTAAATAATCAATAATCATTATCAGTTGAAATAAAAAAATAAATAAATAAAATTATCAGTTGAAATTTAAAACATAACTCTTCCGTGAATAAATACAAAATTACTTTCAGATTACAAAATAATAGAAGTGTGGTAATTTTGAGAGATTTAGAACTAAGACATGAAGATCAACAAAAATGATACTCATCCTCACAATGTGCTCAATTAGCAAGAAAGAAATACTGACTCATTATTTGAATCATTCACATCTTCATATTCTACTGATGAATTGAACATCTATTATTCATTTGTTAAAGAATTTGAGGATTAACAATGCTAACTAGGGAATTTGACTCATGATTTTGATAGGAATTGTTGAGGGAATCCCGAGCATGTGTCTAGGATACACAATTAGACGCTTAGAGTGTAAGCCTCACATGGGAGTGTTAGGGCGTTTAGTGCCCCTCCCAGGGGCCGGATCCAAAAAAAAAAAAAAAACCTTTTAAAACAGAGTTTGTAAGCAAAAGAGAGAAACACGAAGTAGCATTTGAATGCAAAATTTCACATACCCCTTTGCCAACTTTTGGATTTCGTAATTGGTAAAGATTCCACATTCTTATTATTTTTTTGGCGTAAAGCCCTAGTTGCCACTCTGTCTTGAGAATCTAGCTATATTATTGGAAAGCAACTTGATACTACACCAGAAATAGTGTTTTTTTTTAGGCTTTTGTTTACATCATAACAACAAGAACAAAATTTGATTGGAACATGTAGTGGGAAATTCATAGTTCAAAAAAGTAGTGTAATACTTTGAGGATACCAGTGATAATATAAAATAATTTTTCCACTATGAATGTAAAAGTTTCAACGATTTAAGTCAAACCTTTTGATTAGGTAACATGATGTAGTCCAATTTTACAAGACGTTTGGATATTCCTTTCATGTGCAAGAATCTGGTACAGGAGAAAGAAAGAGTTGAACAAAATGGTGATGGTCAATTTATTTATCTTTTTAAGCTTGACGATAACGATATTGCCTTTCACAACTTCATCATCATCATCATGTGAAGAGACCAAATGATGTGGGCAATCTAGTAATAAGAGATTCTTTCCACCAACAGATTTTTCCTATTCTAAAGAGATGCTGCTTGGTGTAAATAACAATCATACTAGCGGTTACAAACCCTAATAAGAGTGATCATGACTAAATCCGCTGGAGATTAGTGCTATATCTAGTAAGAAAATATCATGCTCAATGGGCCCTAGAGGATGGATTATGACACTAAGATACACAAAATCTCTTTTTTGCTGTTAATTTTGACTTTAATTATCTACAGTTAGTTCACAAACTATAGGTTATTAGTTAATAATTATGATTAGATAACAATAAACAAGTTTTGTTTTATCTTGGTCAAAAGTGGGAAAAGAATAAACTAAAGCAGGTGTGGGACAAGGAACAATAGCATTGGTCAAATGTCAAAACGTTTGTACAGTAGAGTTAGTTGTTTAAACTTTCAGACATAAGCAACATAGACCCCCATTTGGTGGTTAGTGCTTAACATCATCTCCTATCAAAACGTTAAGTTTCTTTCAACTTGTTCCACGTCATGGGACAAATTAAATTGATGGAAGCTCTTATCTTATCTACCATTTGTGTGTGGAAGGGAATATGAAATGCATTGTCGGTTTTTTTAACTTCTATGATACAATGCTTGAAACTTAGGGACCAAAATGTGCAACATTTTAGCAGCATAAATGCCACAACTCACCGTATAAGACGGTACCTGTTGGAAATGTTATTATGATGCAAAAAGAATTACAGTATCTCTTCTTATCTTAGTGAAATTAGGAGGGGGATGGTGCCTGTAGTAAATGGGGCAGGGCGGGCCAAACCCGCATAAACCTATCTTGTTGTTTTCAACCCGCCCACCCCACCCTGCATAATTCAATTGATTTTTTACATATATAAAAATGTTTTCATTCAAACTACTTTAGTTAGTTGACATCATTATTTATTATAACAACTACAGTGATCAAAACATGTTTAATTGAAGCATGAGATATAAAGAAAAAAAATTATTAACAGAAATTAATTAATTAGCTACAACCTAATAGACTTTAGAAACTTCAACTGAATGATGCAAAAGCTCAACTTTGATTTATTGTTATATATGATGTAACCGTAGAAAATGATCAAACACAAAAATTCATGAACTGGGTAGAAAAATTAGAGCTTTAACAGAAAAAAACACACAACAGTACTTAGTAATTATTAGCGGGGAAGCATTACATTAAAATAATGAGCAAATACAACAGGGATATATAGTAAAAATAAATAAAAGAAGACAACAAAACCACAACCCACCCACATTAGTTTTTCAAAAACATATTTCAACCCGCCCCGCACATGCATAACACCAAACCCATCCTGCCCCGCACCCACCCCGCCCCATTGCCATCCCTTGAACTGCAATTTGATGACTCTATTAAGAAAAGTGCAATAATTCAATATTGATAAGTAGTCATTTGCCAGAGGTGTAACTAAACTGCACATGGATGGTTTCATCACAATGTGACAACATTACTTCAGTTCAAATGATTTAATTACTTAACATTACCTTCAATTCAAATAACTTAATTACTTTTAGTCAATATTACCACTCAGACATGGAGACAAAGGGGGTTTCTTCTAGAATAACCTGAGTGAAAAGGAAACAGTGAGCTTTGTGACCTGAAAGATAGAAACCTTGTAAATTGTTCTTTTTCTCAAGTCAAATGCACGTTCCTTACTAATTGCTGAGACTTGAATAGGATAGAGGTGAAATGCCACTCATGTAACCTCTGTACAAGGCAAAGTTGTAGTGGATTGAAGGCATAAGACAGGTACAATAACAAAAGCAAGTATGCACATGTACCCCCAACTAAAGACACCAAAGAGTAAGAGGAAAACAACCTTACACAACAAGAGTCCAAAAATAACTAACTAACCAAAGGGGAGGTAGGTTTTAACACTTAGTTATACGTAGGAGATGTGGAAACCAAAGTGGGGAGGGATATTGAAAGCATGTACAAATAAGGATATGAAAATTGAAAGAAGACAGTTGTATTAACTTTTCAAGACAAAGGGTGTGCTACAATTTAAAATGGTGTTTGGCCTTGGGATCTTTTGGATACACGAGAATAACCACAGATGTAAACATCGCTGGAAGGTTTTTGCTTAACCTAAAAACACCAACTAGCATGTGAGAAGGGCTCAATCATGGGACCACCACCACTAACATAGTTTTAGATTCCATCATTAGCATGAGAAAAGGCATTACCTAATTCTAATTATCAAAAGGAACAATAATAGTTAGGCCACTTTGTACTCCAATGTACTAAAGGTTGCAACTCACAATAAGAAAATCAGAATACTATGATAATACCCCGTTCACTTCAGATTTGCTTTAAATAAGACATCCTATACAAATAGAAAAGTAATTATTTCTATGCATTACAAATAGAAAATTCCCATCATTTGACTCAGATTGATCCTAAGTGGTTATGAGAAGTCAATTTAAATGTCTCCTTAGTGGCTTCCTCCCAAAGTAATAATGAAAATACAGACCTTGAATGCATATGACGGAAGACCCCAACCCAAGGTAAAGTTTGAACCCCTTGAGTAGTTCAACATACAGTGCAAAAGTGGTATAATACATAAAACAGAAAGGTAAAAGGATTTTTTTTATTTTTTTTACCCTTCGGGGTGGCCCAGTGGTTTGAGCTTGGGACTTCCATGTTAGAGGTCTCAAGTTCGAAACCCCTTGCCAGCGAAAGCAAGGGGTTTGCCTTCTGGGTCGAGCTCGTCGCACCAGGCTTGCCTAATGCGGGTTACCTCTCCTATGTGGTTTGTGAGCTATTGCATAGGAGCGGAGGTTTTACCCTGTGCGCACCCAAAGGGTAGCGGCTGCGGCTTTCCCTTGTCATCAAAAAAAAAAAAAGGATAACAAGAAAGAACCAGTCATTAACAAAAACACACATGAACCATATTTACAGTTCAATACCAAAACATTTTCAGGCGAGAATATATCAGTAACCTAGGTTGCTCGGACTCTCCAAAAATGTTACCACACCCATGTCGGATCCTCCAAAAAATGCACTGCTTTTGGAGGATCTGACACGCTCTTGGTGGCATTTTTCAAGAGTCCGAACAACATAGTCAGTAACGTAATATTCAAGCATAGTTCTTTAAGAAGGAGAAGTGGATATTTCATTACATTTGCTGTGAAGTGGATATGTTCTTACAGACTTGGAAAAAGGACAAACTGTAGCCACAACAGTTGGACCAGGAGAGCACACCTTATTACTCAATGTAAATAATATTCACCGTGCTTCATTACATAGCTCAACTCCAGTTCTAAACTTTCAACAACCAGTAACTCAGAAATCCACCACCACCTCCAGCCCCTATAAATATCCTTGTTCCTGGACACTCAAGTTAGTGTCTCTCAGTATCTCCTTCCCTCTCTTCCTCTCTCGCTCTCTCTATCTATATATCTCTCCCTCTCTATATATCTTTCATAAGTGCATGTGAGTGGGTAGTATTTGTGCATGGATACAGAAGTGCATGCAGAAAAAGGATTTATACACAGTTAAGCTCTCTCTATAACACTCCAAAACAAGCAAACAAGAGATAAGAGGAAGAAGCTTAAAGAAGATGGCAGCAGAACAGATCAAAAAGCACCCGACATTACCAGAGGTACAAACTACAGAATCCTTTTAAAACATTTGAAATCACAGGAAATATGTGTATTAATCACCCTGACAAGAACAATTTCCCCCCATAATTTCTAGGTCAAGGAGGAATTGAAGAAAATAATTGACAGAGGTTTTCCTATACTTGCTATGGGCTTGGCAACCTATTTGAAAAACATGATTTTAGTTGTGTGCATGGGAAGGCTGGGAAACTTGGAGCTGGCAGGGGGTGCACTGGCCATTGGCTTCACCAATATTACTGGTTACTCAGTCTTGTCTGGCCTAGCCTTGGGGATGGAACCACTTTCTAGCCAGGCTTTTGGATCAAGAAACTTGACTTTAGTGTCTCTTGCCCTCCAAAGGACAATCTTTATGTTATTAACTGCATCTATACCTATTGCCTTTTTATGGTTTAATTTTGAGTCTCTCATGCTAAAGCTACACCAAGACTCACAAATAATACATGTAGCAAGTGTATTTTGCAGATTTGCTGTCCCAGATCTTATTGCTAACAGCTTTCTTCACCCTTTACGCATCTACTTACGGTGTAAAGGTACAACATGGCCTCTATTATGGTGTACTTCACTTGCAACAATGCTGCATTTCCCTATCACAGTTTACCTGACTTTTACTCTCAGTCTTGGGATCCAAGGAATTGCAATTTCAACCTATGTCTCCAACTTTGTCACCTTATTCTTCCTTTTAGGCTATATATTCTTTACTTATGACCAAAATGGATCTCCATCAAAACCCCTAGCAGAAAATGTAAAACTTCTTCCTTCCATTTCTGTGGGAGAACAATGGATAATGCTTCTTCAACTTGCTATACCTAGCTGTTTAGCAGTTTGCTTAGAGTGGTGGTGGTATGAATTCATGACAGTTCTAGCCGGCTACCTTGACAGACCTGAAGTTCCACTTGCTGCATCTGCTATCGTTATACAAACCACATCCCTCATGTACACATTGCCTTCGGCCCTAAGTGCTTCAGTCTCAAGCAGGGTAGGGAATGAACTTGGAGCGGGACGGCCAGCTAAGGCCCGCTTGGCGACAGGGATAGCCATAGGGCTGGCCTTTTTGACTTCAACATTTGGATTCATACTGACCACCATAGGGAGAGAAGCATGGGGAAGAGTCTTTACAAAAGATAGAGAAGTTCTGGAGCTAACAGCGACCGTTCTTCCCATTATTGGACTTTGTGAACTAGCTAATTGTCCACAGACAACATGTTGTGGGGTTCTTCGGGGGAGTGCTAGGCCCGGTGTTGGTGCAGGTATTAACTTTTACTCGTTCTATTTGATGGGAACACCAGTGGCCATCACTTTGGCCTTCGTTTGGAAGCTAGGATTTTTGGGCCTTTGTTATGGGCTTCTAGCAGCTCAAGTGGCATGTGTAATCTCAATGTTAATAGTCACTTATAGTACTGATTGGGAAGGAGCATCCTTGAAGGCAAAAGAACTAGTGGGAAGATCTAATGAACTCCCATATGAAGATCAACTGGTAAAATTTGAGGAGGGTAATGGATTTCTCAAAAGATTTAGCTTCTGAAGAGGAAGGAAATCTAAGGATGCAATGGATGGAAAGGAAAAGGAAGAGATGGCACAGACAAGAAGAAAGCGAAGAACATTACATCCTCTCAGTATTTCGAGTCATAGAATATGCAACATGTACCTTGGACTTTTGACGTTAAAGCAACTAGTTTCATATCTAACAGGATGTTGATGGGATAATGGAAGTATAGGCAAGCAGAAGTGTGTTTTATAGCCCAAATGTGTAAATGTAAGAGGCTTTTGGTTTGCATTTTCTAGATGTCAATATATGTTATCTTAGTAGCTATGACATAAACATTTGCATGAGCTTCTAGTTTCTATTTTACAGTTATCAGACTAACCATCACAACATGCTTCAAATTCAATGCACCCTCTCTCCCTCCCTTCTTAAAATGTGAGACAGAAAAGGAGGCATTTTATCTCTGCATTTGTGGGGCATAAGCTCTAAAAGAAGAAGCAAAAGCCCTATGAACTTCAATTTTGGATTATCAAATATTATTTGAATATTTAAAAGATACTTTAGGAGAAAAAAATATTCATTGTTAGGGGAACAATCTTATAAATGGAACAATTTTGAATAGAATATTATACTTCTCTAGGAGAAATCAATTACAGAAGTGATATATTTTTTCTGAAGATGTAAAGGTTTACTACAACACATATTTAGCTCATAACATTGATTTTGTCATTTTCACCTTTACTCCATATCTTTCACACAGTAAAACATTTTGTGTACTTGAAAGTCTCTATAATAAGACATTAGCTCAAATTAACATTGATTTTCCTTAGGTAACCGAAAATTGAGATACAAAAGGAGCAGTCAGTAGAGAGATACGAACAAACAGGGACTGCAGTGAGAGGCCAACAGGAATAAAAAAAATTAAATCCCAGGTGCGATTTGATAATATTGCCCTAATGAGAGCCTAGTCCTTTTAACATGTTGGTAAGTATATATATTTCAAAATCATAAGTTCATAACTATCTGTAGAAAATGAAAATTAAAAGAGACCAAGAGAAAAAACTGAACATAAGACACTATGAATTATGCAAGAGCATTAAAATAAATGTCAAAGACTTTCTTCACTTCTTCCACAACGTTCATATAAAAATACACAGATTGTGCTCTGCCGAGCCCCTATACACCCCCTAATGGCTTCTGAAATTCAGTGTCTCTACACATTGGGAGGCAAACTACACAAAGTGGAAATGTAACTGACTTGGTAGCAGTGTTATCAAAGGCGAAAAGCGCAAAAAAGCTTTAAGGTCTGTTGGGGCTTTAAGCGCAAAGTGCAAATGAAGCGTGGGCTTTATTGAAAAAAGGCGCAAAGGGAGAAAAAAATGCAAATATATATGTTTAGTTCAAGACTAATAATTATAAACATGAATGACAATTATATGACCAAAGAAATTGATTTTTTTATGATAAAGTGAAATATCAATTGTTTAGTGTCACCTCTGACGAGGAGGCTCATTGGCAAGGAAAAATATGCATTAGAACCTTGATGACAACACTAAAGCGCACATAAAGCAAGGCGAGGCGCTCAATACGTTTTGAGCCTTGCTTCAGGGCTCAAGTGTGCCTTTGATAACACTGCTTGGTAGCAAACATGGTGTAACAACTGTTTTGTTAACTAGTGAGTTATCACAACCACTGCAGTCTCTAACTCGAGGCATTACAAGGATACAAATGGGGATAACCTAGAGTTATGCGTTGTGACGGACAGAATATCACGTATACAACAGGAGCTATGTCTAGAATCTATTAACTCACCACTAAATTCATGTGATATTTGGTTGTTTTTCACCCTTTGTCATGCTATACTATTTCCAAATGAATTTAACTCGAGTTGTGTGCCTGCACCCGCTGCTTTCTATACACATCCATCTATGCTCTTTCTGCTCTATCCTCCCTCTTTGTAGATTTGATCAAGCAAAAGCATTTACCTTTTTGTTTTGAATCCCTATACCCGAACTCCTTCACATATTCTTTTCTCTGTGTAGAGTTATAACAATTCCAATACACTATTAGCACTTAACTATGTGTCCCTTTTCTTTTACCTTCCTATTCCCAAAAGCAAACAACCATAAGTGCCTCAACAGTGTAAAAAAGAAAAGACCTTTCTCAACAATCCTTAACGACTAGGGATATTTGGATAGAACTTTCAAACTCTAATTTCTCTTCCTTCATTCACTTGTAAATTCTTTCATGTGTAATACTTGCCATTCAGATATCTAGGGACTGCCATTTTTAGCTATGTATTACGCACTTGATGTTAATTTAAGTTTCAACGGATAGAACACATTATCAGAGATTCGTTGAGTCTAATTTGTACCATCTAACCTCGAAAAAAAACAAAAACAAAAAAAGGAGCTGAATGTGGATCATCAAAACAGAAGAAATTCATCCACAACTATATATATGCTAATTAAACACTCCAATTTTATTTGACGTATTCACTGAGAATTCATGCATTGTCTTGTTACCTGTCCATACCAGTAGTCCTAGTATTGTTGTTGTAGTTTCTTGTAATTCAATTATCTTATTACTATGCCGTAGTAACTGTTCAGAATGCTTTGCTATACTTTTTCTGGATTGCCTTCAATTGTTTTTTTCCTTAAAACCTCTCTACCTCAATCTCCCCAGACTCCACTTTGTGGGACTGACTACATTGAGTCAATGCTAGAAGAAATAGAATTTGTACAAATTTCATAATCAGAGCAGTTCAACTAAAGGAAAATGACAGAGTATTGCCCTATTTTGGACTAAACGCAATTTCAAGTGCCAATTTATAACAACTAAGGATTTCAATTCTCGTGACAAAAACGTAAAAGGAGTAAAATGCGAAAGAGAGAAAACGAGCTTACCGGTGATCACAGAGGATAAATAATCGGAGATTCCACCGGACGGAGCTCAACGTCGGAGCAAAATTAGATTTTCCAACGAAACGCTGTTACAAAAACGTGATTTCACAGATCGTAAACAACTTCTCCGTGATCTATTCTTATTGGGCTTAGATATCACGGCTCGTTTAGATGGGCTCATTTTTATGTGGCCGTTTGGTTATGGGATCACTGCAAAGCTAATACATGAATAATTCAGATTAAGTTTTGGAAAAACTACATAAGTGAAGGTCTTTTATTTAATAATTATCACTTTTAAGTATACTTTTAATTTATTACCATTTTCGTCAACTTTTAGCAATACTTACTTAAAACAATTTTTCCTTTAAACTTAGCAAAAAGTGTTGTCATTCGCAACTTTTAGCAATACTGTCATTCAGCCAAATTGTTATATATGGTTAAAAGAATAATGTTGACAAATGACGTAAATATTTTTTAAAAAGGGTACATGTAAGTGATTTTCCCGTTAGTTTACATATGGCTGGTTGATTTTGGAAATTTGTTTAAAAAAAACTATATAATTAGACACATTTTACTATCATATATACTATTATTATCTATTATTTTAAAATATTATGTATTTTACAACTAATTAAGAGTTTTCTACGTGTCTTACACTTAGTACATATATTTTCGCTACCAAATACACAAAAACAGGGAGAAAGGCAAGTGAGATTCATATATATCACACATACATGCGGATCACACTAGATACATGTATCTATATGTATCTGGAGTGATTCTCATATATCTGAGATACCAAATACATGGGAGATTGGCAAGTGAGATGGAAGAGAGGTGAGGGAGGCGAGCGAGATTTGCTATGTATTCCAGATACATCCAATTCCTCTTGGATACAATGTATCTAGAATAATTTACACCTAAATTTTACCTCATGTATCCGAAATACATGTATCTAGACGTATCTGGAGGCTCAAAAATCTAATAAGATACACAATATAGTAAACTAGACTGTATCTAAGTAATTAGCTCCTAAACTAGTGAGATTTATGTAAGTTCCCAAATTTTCCCCATAAGAAAAATCTTACAAAATAGCCTTTATTCATTTAATGAAAATTCCTTGGACAAACTTTCCCTCCAAATCTAATAAAATAAAGGAAGTTTGCATGGTAAGTCTTACACAACCACGCATAAGCACGAGTTAGAAGAAACTTGTATAGGGTTGAACTATATCGCACTATCAGGAGCAAGACAAAAGTGAAATGTTCCTAAATGTCGTTGCCTCCCAATTATAGATGTGGCGTGCTTCACACTGATAAAAATGACTCTACAGACATGGCTTCATAGACACCCTATGACTCTTGAACTTTGCGCTTTGATACCAAGTTTGTCACATCCTGAGCCTATACCCTAGACATGGCCGGCACTCGAGAACCATTTCTGATCCCCAAGCGAACCCTTGGCCTGACTGACTATTTAGCGGAAGACTTACTCAAGTATAAAAAAGCCTTAAATACAAAATTAACTCAATAGTCTCAATTAAACTCAACTCAAATAAATGTTTGGAAATACTTAATGAAGTATAAGTAATAGTTCTCAAGATCTCAAAACAAAAAGAAACATACTGAGAGACTCATTAACTCTAGTTATCTATGAAGCCTCTAATACTAGGATAGATGTCGGGACAAGACCCACAATAACAATAACAAACAATAAAATGTGAAATTATCCAGAAAATAAGGAGGCTCACCAAAGCTATCTGATGCACAAAGTGATCTCAACGAAACACATGTTGATGATCCTGAACACTTGTATCTGCATCATAAAAGAAGCAGGTCAAATGAAATCAGTACATTGAATGCACGAGTATGAAATATAGTTGGGCAAAATAACTAAAAGAAAGGACTGAAAAAGGTATAACATATGTCACGCCCCGAGCCTACACCCTGGACGTGATTGGCACTCGAGAACCATTGTTGGCCCCAAGCGAACCCTTGGCCTCGTTTATGACTCAGCGAAAGACTTTACTCATCATTTAAAAGAAATCAAATGTAAATTTACTCAACTGTCTCAAAGTAACTTAGAATGTTTTAGAAATAAACATTCAACTAGCCAAAGTGGCAACTCAAGACTCAACATAACAAATGAAAATGAAAAGACTCATGAATTAACGTTTATCTATCTATGAAGCCTCTAATACTATGAGGGATGTCAGGACAAGACCCCCAATCATCCCAACAACTTAAATGACAAAACATAATAAAGGGATCCTCTGGAAGCAAGGAGGCTCACCAAACAATTCTGGAATCTCAACTGGATCAACGAAGCACTGGATGTTGATCCTGGTTACCTGTATCTGCATCATAAAAGATGCAGGCCAAATGGCGTCAGTACATGGAATGTACGAGCATGCAAGGGGAAATCTAAACAAGACATAAGCTTGA